TACGGCATCGTATTATTTTTCTTCTTCTCCTTATACTTTAAAATCTCATTTCTTTCTAATTTGTCTACTTTTCTTTTAGCTTCATTTAAAAAACCTTCCTTATACCCACGTTCTTTAAAATCTTTAATAATCTTTTGGCTTTGTTCTAAAAAAATTAGATAACTGCTTTTCAAAAGCATTTTTAAATTAATTGTTTTTTTAAACTTATCAATTTTTTTCAATTCATCAATTATTTTTTGAACCTCAGATTTTCATGCTCTCAGTTCTATTCCTATTTTGTTTCACAATTATATTGTTCACATTTATATGGATGATAAGTCTTTTTGTGATTGCACTTTTTTGTGATTGCACTTTGTTATGCACCTTTCCCACTGGGACACTCTCTGATAAATAATTACCACTGTTGATTTTAATTATTATTACATTTTATTCATGTTTTATCTATTATATTGTGTTTGCCAAAACTACAATAAGAGTAAGTCTTGAGATATGCCAATTAATAGTTCTCTCTTTTTATCCTTTTTAGGCAATATTGCTTTAAATCATAACTAAATTTAAATCTTAATCAATATTAATATGCTGTGTATCTTTGTGATTTTGTGATTCTATCAATGCCTTTTTGCTGTTCAATTTTGCCATGTTATTTTTTTTTTCTTTTTTCTGCTGTGTATTTTTGTGATTTTATCAATGCCTTTTTGCTGTTTAATTTTGCCATGTTATTTATTTTTCTGCCATGAACAATCCTTTAAAGAGTCTTAAATGAGTCTTTAATGACAGCTGTAGATTTGAATCCAAGTCCCATTAAACTTTATGTCAAGATATTTAGTTAATTTAATTGAACAATTGGACTTTTTCAATTGAATTAGTGATAAACCAATCATGAGGGATTGTTGCCCTATTTAAGCCCACAACCAAGATGAAGGTTGTGAGCACGTCCTGAGGAAGCCGATTGGCGAAACGCGTTGACGTCATACAAAGGGGGAGGAGCTTACAGACCACGGAGTCCGGAGGCGTTTGTTTTCTGGCAGCAGACAATACACGAGGAGATTCTCTAGCAGCCGAACAGGAAGAACGCCGGACGAGCAGCCTACCACCCTAATGATTGAACTCTGATAGTGAGTTGACATATATGTGTCAAACTCACCACCTTATCTAGTAAGGGGCTTGTCACCCTATTTTTTATCATCATTTTTTATTATTCTATTTTATGTATATATGTACTGCTTTTTCTGCATGTGGCAGATAATAAATTTATGTCAGCTTTTTCCTATTGGGGTTTCACCAAATATTTCTTAAAGTAATACTTCACAATTTATGAATTGTTATAAGTATATATGCTTATATATTTTTTATACAATCTGCACTATCATTGCTTTTTTTCCCTTTTTTCTTTACATATATACCATTATTGCTGGAAGTTACACTTAAAATCGAAACCAGTTTGTATATATATACTCTTTCTTCTGTCTTATATATGGTATAAATTGCTCCACTCACTAGCACACAAGGAAATATATACAATGTAGCAGTTAAATCATATAACCTAAGGATAGCAGAGGGATAATGTCTCTGAAAAACATTAAATAGCTAAGCCTTCATTGAACTTGCTAAACACTGAATCGACTTCAAGGTCGCTGTCTGAAAAAAATAATATTGCAATGAAGGCAAAAGGCTAGGTTAATTGTAAAACAGAGACAGGTATAATGTAAATCCGTCTGTTATCCGGTAGTTGTGGTGAGTAGAAAAAATAGACTCACAGAGAGGTTGAATCGAATATCTTAGTTGCTAAGCAGTATAATACCTATGAAATAATGCCTCAAGGGAATATATACAATGTTGCAAAAAATTCTATAACCAAAAAAATTGCGAAAGGATACTGTCTCAAGAGAGTTTGTAGTTGAGCCTTCATTAAATTTGCTAAATGTTTAGTTGACTTCAAGGTCGCTGTCTTAAACAATTATGCAAAGAAGGCACGTAAAAGGAAGCAAAAACCCCTTAACGACCGCTGACGGTTCAGGACCGTCATCTGAAAAATCCCCTTGAGGACTGTCCTGAACTGTCATAACGGTATCATTTACTTACCTGATCGCCGCCGTTCCCCCGGCGGCTATCGGCATTGTTTCCGGTGTGGGGAGACTGCCTGACAGCTCAGGCAGTCTCCTCTTGGCGAATTAGTACCCCGCGGCCCTGTGATTGCTCAACAGAGTGGTCACATGGCCACAATAGGTGTCCAAGTATTTGCCAGCAGGAGGACTACCTGTGCTGACAGGTAGTCTCCCTGCATGTGTAAAAATAAATTAAAAAAAAGTTAATGAATAAAAATATAATTTGTGTGTGTGTGTATGTATGTGTATGTGTATATATATATATATATCTATATATCATATATATATCGTACTAAGTGTATTTGTATATAATATATACGTATATTAATATAAAAATACTTTAAATTACACACATATATATATATATATATATATAATAACTATATATATTGTGTGTGTGTATGTATATATATTATAAAATACAAATAATAGGTAAATTATAATTAAAAAATGTAAAAAAAGTAAAACAAATTTTATATATATATATATGAAATTTTATTCTAAGTGTATTTTTATATTAATATGTATATTTATATCAAAATACACTTTGAATGAAATTATATATACATCTATGTATATGTAAATAAATCAAAATAATACGAAAGATATATATCCATAATAATTTTATAAAAATATACGTAGAATTAAAATTTATATATATTTAAATTCTACGTGCTTATTTATGTAATTTTTTTACATAATTAAATAATTTTATTGATTGCAATTTGAGGGACCTGCCTGACATCACAGGCCAAAAATCCAGAGAATTTAATTTGCTAGCACTATATTTAACCCTGTAACTTTCCAAGACACCATACAACCTGTATATGGGGGGTACTGTTTTACTCGGGAGACTTCGCTGAACACAAATATCAGTGTTTTAAAACAGTAAAACATATCACAGCGATGATATTATCATTGAAAGTGAAGTTATTTGCATTTTTCACACACAAATGGCACTTTCACTGATGATATTGTTGTAATACGATTTACTGTTTTGAAACACTAATATTTGTGGTCAGCAAAGTCTCCCGAGTATAACAGACCCCCCCATGAACAGGTTTTATAGTGTTTTTTTAAAATTACAGGGTCACATTTTTTTACATTGAAAATTGCTAGCTTGGTTATGTTGCCTTTGAGAGCGTATGATAGCCCAGGAATGAGAATTACCCCCATGATGGCATACCATTTGCAAATGAAGACAACCCAAGGTATTGCAAATGGGGTATGTTCAGTCTTTTTTAGTAGCCACTTAGTCAAAAACACTGGCCAGAGTTAGCATTCATAATTGTCTTTTGCATTTTTAACACACAAATATAAATGCTAACTTTGGCCAGTGTTTGTGACTAAGTGGCTACTAAAAAAGACTGGACATACCCCTTATTGAATACCCTGGGTTGTCTACTTTAAAAAAAAATGTATATATGAGGTGTGATTCAGAGATTTATGACCGATAACAGTGTTACAATATCACTATTGATACAGTTTAAAAATATATATTCCTTTTTGTACTTATAGCCCCATAATTTGCAAAAAAAAAAGCATGTAAACACTGGGTGTTTTTAAACTCAGGACACAATTTTGAATCTATTTAGCAGTTTATTTTCATTAGCTCTTGTAGATAAGTCAAATATTTTTCAAGTAAAAGTCAAAAAACATGTTTTGTTTTTTTTTTCCCATATTTTTTTTTTTTTAAAGTAATAATTTTTACAGCTAAACACAAACACCAAAAAAGTGTTAAAACAGCCCTAGTCCTTAACGTACAACATGGCCAAAACAGTCCGGTCCTGAAGGGGTTAAACAAAAGGCAAACCTTCCATGCTACTTAAACAATTGCCCTAAAAATAAACCCTATTTAGAGGAGTTACCCCTCTATAAATTTCTACCAAAACTTTCACCAGCTAATGCTGTGAGTTTAAAATAAAAATAGAGTAAGCCTGACGCGTGTTTCGGCACTGCTAAAGCGCCTTCGTCTGAGGCATAGCAGCGCCAAAATGCGCGTCAGGCTTACTCTATTTTTATTTTAACCCCTTAAGGACCAAACCTCTGGAATAAAAGGGAATCATGACATGTCACACGTCATGTGTCCTTAAGGGGTTAAACTCACAGCACGATTTTTGTTACCACTATGGTGTAAAAGTAGTAAGACGAAAGTGGCACTCTGATCCAATATTCTGACATACTGAAGTGACAGACTTATTAACACAGTCTGTGATTTGCAGAGAAAGAGATGCATGCTGGCAGTAATGTTTGCATTGAAATAACCATGATGACATTATCTAGTACTCCGAGATGCCGCACCAGAACCATGACCACAAGGCAAAGGAGGGATTTTTTTTAGGGAGAAAGTGAATCTGTAAGCAGCCTGAAGGAGAGTAGTGTCTATGAAATGGTTAAAGCGTATCTGTTTGAACATGCTTTGCTTCCTCCTGATGGACATCTGAGCTATTTGGATGAGAAGAAAAGTGTGCAACCTTTGTTTGGTTGCCCAGCACCTATTGTCCATCCACCATAGTCCAAGGTGAGTAAAGGTTTTCAGTGACAGGGAACAATTTGAATCCCCAATGCTCAAACATATCCTCGCAACTAATCGAGAAAGCCTTCCTCAAGTTAGTTTACCTTGCTCTTCACTTTAGTACGTAAGGCATCAATATGGTTGTGACTAAATTAAAATAAAATTATTTTTTTTTCTCACAGCTGATGCAGCCCCTTTTATTTTTATTTTATAATTTTATATTTTGGCTTTATTTTTTAAAATATATATATATATATATATATATAAGGTATATAGCATATATTTTGTAGATGGTATCAGCATGCGATTTTGAAGATAACTTTCATTGCTTATTAAATATCCATTAAAAGATCAACGTTTCAGTTCCATCTGGAACTTTCATCAGGATCAGGCATACAATATCACATAAAAAAGTGCATTTATATACATAAAGTGTAAGTGTATATAAATGCACTTTTTTATGTGATATTGTATGCCTGATCCTGATGAAAGTTCCAGATGGAACTGAAACGTTGATCTTTTAATGGATATTTAATAAACAGTAAGTTTTAATCTTCAAAGTCCGAGTGTGCTGATCACTATCTACAAATATACATATTTTTCCCTGGATTTCAAGCACCCGGCCAACAACAGCCAGAAAGCGTGAGTGCAAGGATATATTAGATTTTTATATATATATATTCAAGTAAATGGCTGCACTCACGAAATAAAAGTCCAAAGTTTAATGACAAATGATTAAAACATCCAGGATCAACGTTTCAGTCCTTGCAGACTTTCATCAGGATCATGATCCTGATGAAAGTCTGCAAGGACTGAAACGTTGATCCTGGATGTTTTAATCATTTGTCATTAAACTTTGGAATTTTATTTCGTGAGTGCAGCCATTTACTTGAATTCCTTGGATATTGAAGCTACTTTTTGGTTGGCACCCGGCTACTAAGGGACATTGAAGCGTGAGTGCAGGAGCAATTTCGTTTTTATATATATATATATATATATATATATATATATATATATATATATATATACACACAAATGCATGTTATTGTAGTGGTTTTGACCTGCCTGCATTGTACCTATGCAAGTTACCTCTGGTAACATTTCTTTTCAAATTACTTGGTTTTGGCAACTCTGCATTGGCATTGCTTAAATGACTGATATTGTGTAGCTACCATGGCAGGCAATATGCTACCCTTTTTTTTATGTCTACACAGAGATTTTTTTGTTAGGCTTTCTGCAGCTTTTTTTTGGATGCCTGAATTATATACCCAAATTTATTTAAATACAGAAATGTGGGTGTGCTGATCTAAATATATATATATATATATATATATATATATATATATATGTGTGTGTGTGTGTGTATGTATATATATATATATGTGTGTGTATATATATAATATAAATATATACATTATCTATGACTGTACTCATTAGGAGAGAGGGAAAGTACAGAGGAATAAATGCATTGAATCTATAAAAAACTAAATGGTAAAGATACAAATTAATTTATAAATGTGACTTAATGATATTGGCAAAGCAGGCAAGTTTTTTCGAAAAGTGACCTTGCGTATTGTGTCTAAATTAAGTTATCGCACAGCTAAGCAACCTTTCTTCTTGACATAAAAATTTCAGTCTACAAACAATTTAATCTTAAAGCACATTGTGTTTGCTTAAGAGGTTCTGACGTTCTGCGTTCTTAGTGGAACTTTAATCACACACGGAAGGGTCTTGCAGATTACCAGAGCTGGAGATAAGAAATTCTATATTAAACACAAGAAAGAAATGTAACTATTTTTCTGGAAGTAGGTGGGGAAGTTGAGGGAATCATAACCAGGAAAGGTAAAGCTGAGGCTGCATAGACAAAGTGATTTTAAACCATACATGGAAGAAAATTGAGTAGTGAGACTACACGGGCATGATCTATATATAAAAACCACAACGGTAAAGTTGTTTTGGTGCTTAGTGTCCCTTTAAGAGCAACCTGCTTTGCTTGACATTTATTCAATGTTATGTTGACTGCATTCTGGTAGCACAAGCTTTAGTCATCTTGCATGTACATAGGTGGACTTAACTGATCTGTATTTGCAGATCCTCCTACAGAAGATCATCTGTTGCAGAATACACTATGGCCAGAGGTTCAGAAGCTGTAAGTTTGAAATTTTTCTTCCTCCACATTTTCTAGATTGGATCTTTTAATATAAAGATGAACTGTCAATTCACAACATTTTTAATACGTATATTACTTGTATTTACCAAATATATATTTGTAATCTATGACAAATATAATGAACTGTAGAAATCCATACCTTTTTATCCTGTAACTGGATGTCTCCATCTTTGCTCCCATCAATTATTGTTATAATCTCTGTCTCTTGCACCTGGCACCCAGCACAGAGTAAAGTAGTAATTCCTCTTCATTGACACTGTATGCCCTTGGCTTTGTCTTGTCTAAACTGGATTATGATGTGATTTGCTAAATCTTTAAAAAAAAAAAAATTTTTTTTTTTTTTTTTTTTTAAATGGGCAAATCTCATGAAAAAAAAATCATAGGTAGGTGATTTTCAGTGTTTTATTCAATAGTGTAAATTGAAGAGAAGGTCCAGTTGCCCTATAAGTAATTATGATTATCATTAACATAGCAGGGGTTAAGAAAATCTTAATTAAACAGAACTTGCAATAAAGAAAGCCTAAATAGGGCTCTCTTTACAGGAAGTGTTTATGGAAGGCTGTGCAAGTCACATGCAGGGAGGTGTGACTAGGGTTCATAAACAAAGGGATTTAACTCCTAAATGGCAGAGGATTGAGCAGTGAGGCTGCAGGGGCATGTTCTATACACCAAAACTGCTTCATTAAGCTAAAGTTGTTCAGGTGACTATAGTGTCCCTTTAAGGACAGGAGAAAGTTTAGAAGTGCGAAAGTAGAATTTCTGTAGCAGAGGGAAAGTTTCTGCTTGGCCAAGTTAAGTTATGTTTAAGATGCTGGGTAAGGTGTACATCAAGCATGTCAAACTTAAAGTGTGGCACGGGCCACATAAACAAGGTTCAAGTTTATGTGGGACACACACACACACACAAACTGACAGACAGACACACACACACACACTGACAGACAGACACATACCTGCTGACAGACACAGTCACACTGACACAGACATACTTGCTGACAGACACATACAGTCACACAGACACACACATACTCACTGACAGACACACACTCACACACACACATACTCACTGACCGACACACACATTGACACAAACGCACACTCTGACAGATACTCACACACTTACACACACGTACAGTCTCCCTGGGGTCCTTCCTGCTCCTCACTGCTCCTGTGCGCGGTTTAGTGATGCCGGTTGCCAGAATATGATGTCATATTCTGGCGCCCGGCTTCACTTCAGTCGCACGCGCGAGGGAGCAGTGAGGAGCTGGAACACTGGGCTACCTCGCGGCCATCCTCCCCGGCCTGGTAAATGTTAGCAGAGTAGGCACCTGCAATATGGGGAAAGCAGGTACCTACTCTGCTATAACACCAGCATGTACTCACGGCTTGCCTGGTCACAAAGATGGTCCTTGTGGGCCGCGAGTTGGACATGCTTGGTGTATATTGTTGGAGAGGTTCGAGAGAGCATCTGTTGGGAAAATTAGGTTAATGGTACTTTTGGATGTGTGTCTAGGGTGGAAGGAACAATACATTGAGAGTGAAAATACAAAACCCTCTTATTGTTACACAGCCTGGGAGAATGGGTAAGCTAAATGCCTCCTTAGAATAGAGAGACAAGGGCAGCAGTATCAGAGGGTGACAGCCAGGTTTCAGTTAATACCAGGAGTTTTAACAAGTGGGACATGAAGAGATCATGGATGGTAATTGATATCCAGGTTTTACAGAAAGTGTGAAATCATAAAATGTTATTGTGGTGTAAGCTGTTTTTATATACTTACATTCTGTGACATTAAGGAAATGGTTGCAGGTGGTTAAAGCTGTATTTTTAGCCCAGCACTAGTTACCTTCACCAGGCAGTTGTAGATCACGTTGTGTGGGTTGACTGCTACAGAGAAAAGAGAGCTAACTGGTTTTAGGGAATTTGGAAATGTTTTTCAGACATGGAGGCAATGGTATTTTCCCGAAAAACTGCAAGGTTGCTCTGAGCATTTTCTTAAAAAACATCATAATTCTAAAATGTCTTTCAGAATAAAAAAAACCCTTTATCTAACTAGAAGAGGCTTGGTCTAATTTTATAAACAGAGCAATGTTGTTTTGATGATCGGATTGTGAACAATTAATAAATGTTTCATACAGCTTTATATGTATATGGCATATCAGACATATAGTGATGGGGTTGTTGGTTCATCAATGTTAGCAAGGCAGGAAACTACTTTTTTTGCTGGGTGTTTTCTGTATTTATGCTAATTAACAGCAACCTAAAGTTTAAGTGCAGTAGACTCGTACAGCAATTAATGGAGGCTACATGACAATACATACATAAAGCCTGGCTAAAGTATCAATATATTGTAACTAATAAAGGTCAGTGATGCACAACGCCAATGCCAAGGTATCATTGTATTGAAACGGATGAAGGTTAGTGATACCTAAAGCATCAATGTATTGTAACTGATGAAGGTCAGCGATGTCCACACAAATATCCACAATGCTGCATCTCTCTGGGTGTTCAGAAAGAGGTCTCCCTTTCTATATAATGATATAACATATGACACCACTACAGACCTTATTACATTTTGAATAGTCCCATTTAGGGTTAGATGGGCATTGTTTAACTCTGTCATTCAGTACTGATTATGTATAGTGTTGGCTGTCTTGTTCAGTAAATGTATTGTTTGAGTGTAGATTCATTTCGAGATGTGGACATATTTATCACATATCCAAAGGTCTGGATTCAGGAACTTACAACCCTATTTAATTTATGTAAATTGAAGTTGCTATCTCTAAATCTCTATTGTCTTACTACAAAGTGTGCTGTCTAGTCTTTCGAACCCTTTGTAACTATTCCTATACAAATCTTTGTCTCCTAAACCTTTTTGTATTATGGCAACCCTGTTATATGTTCCATTCTGCTCTACCCCAAAGCTGTTCATGTCAGGATGTAGCCCTCTGTGTTTCTAAATGGTTTTACACAGTAATAAACTATTTGTTTGATACATGCTACATTCGATCATATTAAAGGAACACTTCACACACATAAAGCACTTAAGGTAGCTCTTCGTTGAGAAACCTTTATTGGGTATTTCAGTCCTTTTGTGGGGAAGAAGGGGAATGCTTGCAAAAGCTGCAGGCAAAACAAAAATAATTTTGCAAGCTATATTTAGATATACCCCCAATAAAAAAAATGCATAAGTAAGTGCATGACTGTTTTAACTTGGGGGTATATCAACTCGTTCGTGATTAAAAAAGAAACAAGTGAGAGGTGGGCAATAGAGTGTTCCTTTAAAATGTAGATAGACACCATTAAGCACGTCAA